ATTATATATATATATATGTTTATATTAATAATTAAGAGTTATTTTTTATTATGATTAATCCTGTTAATTTCCAATTTCTCATGTTGATCCCCCGGCATAATCTGTAAGCTGGGAGTTGGTGCCTCCGGCGGGTGAAATGAGGACATGCAGCTGGGAATTTACTGCAGCTCGTTTATTAAAGTTACAGCTAAGCTGTTGTCACTGGTTGTCTCTTGGTGATTTTCACTCAGCCTCATAATCTGAGCCGACCTGTGACAATGAGACTGCTGGGTGGATCCAGACATAATTGTCAGGATCCGTCCTGGCTGCGGCGTCTCAGTATACCGCGAGCTGTAGCTCCCTATATACTGAGCTTTGGGTGACGGGAGGACGCTAGTTTGTGCTCCCATGACTCTTAGGAGAACTATGGGGAAAAGCCCTGACCGCATAGTTCTCCTTTAAGCCCTTTGTGAGCTGAGATCATTGAAGCCTAGATGTCCGGCTCAGATTTAGCTACATCAGTTTACTGGACAATAGCTGGCTAATGGGTAGGGATGCACAGATCCCGTTATCGGTGCCGATACCGGGAATTCTCACGGGAGGGGGCCAGATTTCATCGGGTAATTCAATTTTCCCAAATGATCCAGGAAAGTGAACTTACCCTTTAATGCACATTGTGCGTCTTAGAGAGTTTGCTGCCCAACTACCATAATATGGTACACAGCGGAATGGAGGCAGCACTCAACGCGCGCACACACAATGTTTTATTGTTTTACTTAATCACATATTTATTTTGTATTATGTTTCACTTTACCACTTTTATTTTTAAAATTTGTACATATTTTATTTTTTACATCTTTTTAATATCTTTTTATTTAATTTTTTTACTTTTTTTTCACTTATTTTTATTATCACACAGGGGCTTACAAGCCCCCTATGTCCTTGGTTCTCAGCTGGTGGGTCGCGACCCCACGTTCAGCGGGCTAAAGCAGAGACACCGGCTCTCCAATTTTGCAAAATACGTCTATTTATTGACGTGCATCCTGGTAAACAATGAACGTTTCGTGGTCACAAAGGATCCCCTTCATCAGGTAAAACATGATGAAGGGGATCCTTTGTGACCCCGAAATGTTAGTTGTTTTTTACCAGGATGCATGTCAATAAATAGACGTATTTTGCAAAATTGGAGTGCCGGTGTCTCTGCTTTAGCTCACGATTGTTACGGCTGCCACCCGTTGACTACCGCAGCACCCAATTCTTGAAGGGATTCACGCGGTCAGGAGTGCGATGGGACCATGGACTACCCATGTTCAGCGGGTCGCCGCATGCCTTCCACTTTTCTAGGTGAGGGGCTCCTCTGCCTCCCCCTAACACAGCAATGTCGGTTCTTGCACCGAGCAGCCATTCAAAATATGCTGCCCGGTGCCGAGTGTCAGCTTAAGGTGGGGTGAGCAGGCAGTATGGTCGTGAGGGATCTCCATCCATACGTGCGTTGCTTACAGCTCCCTCGCATGTCCTGTAGAGGCGCCTGAACCGGAGTGACGTCACATTCTGGTTCTCGTTACCTCTACAGGAATTACAAGGGAGCTGTCCCAGCAATGCACATATGGATGGAGCTCGGTCACAGCACCCCACACTGGGCCCAGGCTGAGGATCCACTCCCGTTCTCGTAAGGTAGGGAGACTGGGTAGACCCTAAAAAAAAAAAATGTTGGTGTGTGTGTGTGTGTGTGTGTGTGTGTGTG